TCCCTAACCTTTTTTAGTCCAATGGGCATATTTGGCATATTTGGAATATTTTTTTTATTTTACAAGCTTATATGTCATCCCAATTAGGTTGTCTCTGAGCAACCTACAGATCTCCAAATTAGCTTATCTATTATACGTTATAAGCATAACAGTATAATAAATGAATGATACCCTCTGCCTTTTAGGATCAACCATCAAGAGGAAAGGAACAAGCAGTCAAGAAATACACTACAGACTACCACCTGGTAAAACAGCCACGAAGGCCTTAGAAAAGATGTTCAAATGCTATGATATGTCTACATCTACAAAGATCAGCATCGTGCAAGCCATGGTATTCCCTGTGACACTCTATGGAAGCGAAAGTTGGACTTTGAAGAAGTGGGATAGGAAGAGTATTGACACCTTTGTGTTGGAGAAGACTCCTGAGAATATTGTGGACAGCCAAAAAACCAAACCGATGGATCATCGAACAAATCAACCCAGAATTCTCATTTGAAGCACCAATGACCAGGCTCAAATTATCCTATTTTGAACACATTATGCGAAGACCCAGCTCTCTGGAGAAGGCTCTGATGCTGGGAATAGTAGAAGGAAAGAGAAGAGGATTATCAGCAGCAAGGTGGATGGACTCAGCTGCAGTGGCAACGGGGGCACTGTTGGAAGACCAGGTTAGGGACAAACCATCATGGAGAAAAACCTATCTATGTGGTTGCTAGGAGTCGAAAACGACTTGACAGCATGTAATCAATCAATCAATCAATCAATCAATCAATCATCAATACTAAATGAATACTGAGAGCGTGTTTCGGCATACTTTCACCAGATGACTGCATAATGACCCCCGTGAACTCAAAAGCAAGGAAAATCCTGGGCTTTAGCCACCCACCACTTTTCTGGGCAAGGCTTCCAGAGTCGATATAGGGCCGGGGCAGCAGCAGCAGCAGCAGCATCGTCATCATCATCATCATCATCATCACCACCACCACCACCACAAGGCTGTGGCTGGCTGTGAACCAGGGAGACCCAGGCTCTGCTCCCCGCTCAGCCACGGACCGCACCCGGTTCTCCAAGGACACGAGCGTGTCAGTCTGTAATTTCTTGGCTTGACTGTTGTGAGCCGCCCGGAGTCGTTGAGCGCCGGGCGGCACACGCATTTAATACATCCCTGCTGTTCTTAGCGTCCTCACCAGGAAAGGGCTGCGGCTCATAGCCCCGCTTCTCGGTCCCGCGGGAGTTGCGGCCTCAGTGCTCACCTGAGATCCAGGCCAATGCGGCCCCTGGCGGGGAAGTATGGGCTACGTGGTTCGGCGCCGCGGGATTGTTCGCCGTCCCTTGCTTAGCGGGCTGGAGGGAGCAGCGCGGAAGCCCGCGACTGGGCGGAACCGGAAGCCGAGCCCCTCACCGCTAAGGCTGTTGGGAGTCGTAGTCTTTTCCTTTTCTGTTTCCCCTCAGTGCGCTCGTTCCAACTTCAGGACCGCCGCGAGAGGAGGCTGCAGCTCCCAAGGCAAGGGTGTGTTTCCCGGCCCTCTGCGGCGATGCGGGAGGGGGCGCGGACGGAGGCCCTCCCGTCGCTCGGGTTGTTCCGCCGCCCATTTCGAAGGGGAGGAGCCAAGCGCAGTCAC